TATTTGTTAAAAACAATGGGCAGGGTGTATTTTTCATTTTTCTGTGCTGCTATATTCGTCCGTGTAATGATATGTATTTCTTTTAATCGCATCTGATGCATTAAACATTTCCTGACAGCGGTGAAAAATAACTGAAAAATAAAATATGGGAATGTCACTTGTGGCTCGACGGTGTAAATTGTCACTGCGAGCTCGAGTAAACGGGCTTTAGATTTATAAATTTATCAATTTTATTCGTCGATCAGGTTTAACTCTCTCAGGACAAAAAATTCATTGGACAAAATTAAATATCGACGAATGGATGTGATTTTCGTATTACGCCGGAAGTAGAAGAGTTAAAAAAATGTCAAGGGCACCAATTGCTAGGTTTTTTTATTCTCTATAAAAAAGTATTAAGATAGTTGGGTGGAAAATTGATTAATTCGAAAGATATCTTAGGGAGAAGTTGAGGCTTATTTGTTGGGCTCCTCCCTAGGCTATCCCGGTCTCTCCTTGAAATATCTTCCAAACCAATCAATTTTCGATCAAAATACCTTAACACTTTCTTATAGACAATAAAAAAGACTATCAACTGGTGTCCTCGATATCTCTGAAACGCCTCTGTTTCCGGATTAATACACGAATCAAGCGATGTTTCACTCGATACCGTTTAATTATTCCAATGAAACTGTTTTCTATCTTTGGAGCAATATCACTGGTGACCTTTCCTTTCCCGGAAATTTCTAGTTATCAATTACGAAAGACACGTTCCATGATCAAAGGAAATGCGAATTAACGCGTTGCTGCCTTGCTCGTTCGGATCGAGAGCAGCCTTTGGCAATCGACAAAATGCACCTCGAAGTTGTTCATGCCACGATAAATCCGTGAATTACATCGTTGACGTTGTTCGGCCGCAGCTGAAATAATAACACAGTTCCACCAGGGAATGTTTTATCCAGCTGATAGGTAAACATTGATTTTCGAATTGATGTTCCTTCGGATTGATGTGTTCGACGTCGATCCGTATAAACTGGTTTTATTAGCCGTTTCAATGTTATTTTATTTGACATGAGATCAACTTTTAACGTCTCTGTGAAAGCTCACTTTTTTCTTTTTTTCATTACAAGTGGTTTCGTTTGATGTCTAGTAAGAGTTTTTCAATCATTCTCTTTTTCATGTTTCCTGTCTAAATAATTGAATATCGTAGGTACGAGTTGTTTTTTTTCGGTTAAAGTTTCCTGATCGACACAAAAGAAATCAGTAAATGATTAATAACGAGAAAGGAATTTCTTAATTCCTGCTGCTACAGAGATTTCATAAGATTAAGTGAGATTAATCAGTGGATTCAGTCGGTAGCTAAAGGCGATTATAAAATTCATTACGTATTGAAATTTGGGATTATAAATAATTAATATTGTATCACTGATAGATGGGAGAAGAGATTGCTATAGATGTTACTGGTGATCCACCCTTCAAATTTTGTATAATTTATTAATTAACGCGTCGAATATTAAAGGCTACCAATGACCAACGCCACAATTCCGTATAATTCAATAATAATTCAAAGAAAAGAATGTTATATAATGCGATAAAGAAAATTCCGAGGAATAATCATCGTTTACTGGTGAATATTTGTCGAGGATGAAATATACGAGGTCTCAGGAGGATCGTAGTTTGATGCCATAAGCTGTTTCATGAACGCAAATCAATTTGTATTAGGAGTCGTACGTTCTTCACCCTTTAACAACCCCGTTTGACCCATCACGATTTAATTACGTCCTGTTGGAGTCTCCTCCGAAAGCACTTTCATTCATACCCCTCTGATCGTGCAAATTGAAATTAATATTACGCGATCAAGATCTTGTTGAAAGAAAAAACTTGACTGGTTCGAATCAATCTTTCGGGCTATTATTTCTGTTACACGGCTGATTGGGCTTTATCGATTTTTAGATTAAAATGAATCAATTGTGGAATGAAAATTTTGCAAGGGAATATTTGCTTTCCCTACTTCGTTGTAACAACACCCAATCATTTGACAGGATGAGCTTTATAATTTTCCCTTCAGCCAAGTTTAATAACTGTCCGTGTCGTTCTATGGGACATTGTTGTGTCAGGTATAACACCTGTTACTTGTCACTTCGTTAAGGTAAACGCATCAAATTTCTTTAGATTGGATCTTGAGATTTCTTTGCTTGTGCTTTTGTCGACCCCTTTTCGTGTGATTGCACGAGAGATAAATTAGTTTTATGTATCTATGTAATATAACATTCCATTTGACACAATTTTTTTCTGAATTTACATTTGGCGATTTTACAACCCTCGATAGTAAAAATTGATCCTGAAATGTCTGACCCAGGGAAACGAGGGATTTGATGATAATTACTTTCGTTACGGTCCTGAACGAGTTGTTAAGTCACGATAGAATCATCAAGACGATCCTTTCATAGATCTTTCAAAGTATCAAAGAATTGTTAAGTCAACCTAACCCTTGTTACAGTTGATAGAAAAAAATTTTCACGATACCAGCAGCTGGTGGATATTGGAGGTGGTGAATGTACTGTGTTCATAAATGCTGAGTAACAGACGGATCGATTCAACGTCCGATACAAATGCAAAAGCGAGCATGCACCTAACCGCTAGAGGAATTTTATGGAAATAGTGAAAAGGCTTTTACAAGTCAGAACCTCCACTGGGGATTTAATAAACGTGTAGCAAGATAGTTGATGTTTCGTTTCAGCGAGCTTCATCGGTAAATTCCATGTAACAGAGATGCTGTATAAATTTAAGGCTTCTCGTGGAAATTTTAAAATAGATGATAAGCACAGTTTTTTATTTTGATTTTAAGTTTTCATTACTGTTGTACGTTAAAGGGTTTCGGTTGAAAAAATCGTAATAATGGAATATAGAATTTCCATTCTATTTTCAAAAATGAAATATAGAAATATCATTGTTATTTATTATACATCGTGTAGAAAGTTTCTTTAGAATGGAAAAAATAACGTGGAAAAACAGCACCGCGATTGAATCCGTGTGTTTTTTGAAACTTTTATTTTTCTCGGTTTCTGGGTATGACGAGCTTTATTCAGAGCCGAAAAAAGAATGCCATTGTAAAGTTGATGGTTGGAAGTCTGCTAAATCTCAATACTTTCTTATGAATGGTAGGACCCGTATAATGTAGAGTACTTTTTGTTTACGCGAATTGCTCGAATGTAGGTAATGCATTTTATCGTCCGCAGTTTTAATAATAACCGTCTGTTTGTGCAATTATTTACAGAGATTTTTAGGTACGTGAAATTTTTCAACTTCTCAATTTTCCTGCTTTCTTACTGTTCAATTTTTCAAATTTTTCATTTTTTTAACTTTGCAATTTCTTAGTTTGCCAGCTTTCCCACTTTTCAATTTCTCAATTTGCCAAATTTCCAGCTCTTTAATCTTTCAATTTTCCGATTTCCCAATTTTCAAATTTCTCGATTTCTCATACTTTGTGATGTTACAAATTTTGTAAACATTCTTCTTTTATTGATTTTCAATCACTGGGAACACTTAATTCCTGGCGGCGCACCCTAAGAGAATTTCAAGTCAGACACACTCGGTTTTTTCTCCATCCTTGTTGTCGTAAATCAATTTTAACATACACACTCGGGACGTTTATCGACGTGAAGCTTTTTTCTCTGAATCGTTCACTCGTTGACCCATCCTCTCAGGATATTTTTTACTCTGTTAACCTTGTAACAGTGATTTGTTTTCCGTTGAAAAGTGTCGGTGATATTCGAGTTATTAAAACTGTCAGAAACCATCGAGAGCCAGTGAAAACTCGATGGAAAATTGTTGCGCCGACGTGTTTCTGGCGGAGAAGTATGATTTTCGAGTTTGTAGAAAAAAATATTTAGCTCCAATGACGCAGGTATCCTGTCGGTTGTGCTCTGGTGATGAATGGCGAATTGCTGATGGAAATTGTGGTCGGTAGTTAATTCGTCGAAAGTTGGCTGAGAGCCAAAAACATCGTACCGTGAAATCGTAATGTTCCTAGCGAAACTGTATCATTTTTTTTTCCCTCCTCTTGAAATCGAACACCATTTCGCGTGAACTCGATTCCTCTTTGAGGCTCAGATTCGAGAGTAACATAATTAGTCGAGGTCGAATTTTGTCTCTCGAAAAGCCTAGCTGGAGCGATCGTAAATTGTATTAGCTATGGATATTGGGCGACGCCTGACCCACACCTACGAAATAAACGCAAGTAGGCTTCGGCTAAAATTAGGTGCTTCAATTTTCGAATGAAAGAATTTTAATGATAGGAAATAAATATTTCAAATAATTTTTGTAAAATATTTTCTTTCTTTGTTATCCGCTGAATGAAATTATTCGATATCCTTCATTACAAAATATCCTGATTGAAATACGCCATGGAATAATACATGAGTTTAATTCTGACCCATTGTTGGATAAAACTGACAATCAGTTATTTTGTATTGGAAATAATAATGAGGTGTGTATGCTGTCGTTTTGCTGAAGGTTTAAGCTTTAAACTGATGTGGCGTATTAGTTATTTTCGGCAAATTTTCTGTCATGAATTTCTGTTACAATGGCTGTCTTGGGAGAATTCGAAGAATTTTAAACTCACAATTTCATTCTGATAGAATCTTTTGACGTTGAAATCGACGAGGTTGGAAACGCATCGTTCTTCGAAAGCAACAACATGATGTAATTTCAGTAAACACTTGAAAGTTTGATTAAATTTCGAAGCAGCTGCTCGACTTTGATAACTTCATCGACCACCATACGTATACGCGTATTAACGTTAACGTCCGCAATAATATTGCTAATAAACGCGAAAACGAAAATGATGTTTCCCTAGCAGTGGGAATAGAACGGGAGTAAATACACTTCCTGTTTGTTTCCATCAATAACAGCATACATTGTGAAATTCAGTTGAAAATTAGTTATTTCTTTGAATTATTTGCATAAATCAAATGAATATTTTGTTGCAGCAATGAATAAATTTATATATTTCTTTTTTTCAGGGTACATCACAGTTCATCTGCTGATTAATATGGACGTACAAACAGAGGTAAGCGTGCATGTGTTATTTTTAATCTGGAAATAGATAATGTTTGTTCATAATTGGGATAATAACCGGCAAACAGAAATGAAACGGAACATGTTTTGTTAGTAAATCAATTAAACCGTGTTATCGGTGTTGAATTAGCGCACCGTCATTAATCGCATAACAGTAATGTAAGTGTGCCAATTCTTGAAATTAGAACACAATTTTAATACGATTATTAGGAAAATAAATATAAAGCAACTTTGTCTTATATTTGAAAACTTTTCAAAGAACCGGAAACGGACGATGGTCGCTGCAAAATTATTCTCGCTTAAGACGCAAACGTAAAGATGATGAAGTAAACAAACTAACGAGCAAACTCATTTTCATTCATGATTCTTAGCTACGAGTTTAAGCACGCTGAATGAACATAAACCCCGCGTTATCGTACCGTTTACATTTTTCATGGTTTCTTCTCTTGTCACTTAATTTAAAAGACAGTGTCCATTAAAAGCCAGTCAGTGAATTAATGCAATTTTCACGCGTTATCTTTGTGCATAATTTGTTAGAACAAAGTTAATGTAAATTTCGATGATAACCGTAGAAAAGAGGGAATTTAAATTATTAATATCCAAAAATTCCTATTTAATAGTTACGGTTATTGCAATATATTTCAATGTGCAGTAAAATTTATTTAACAAATAAATGTTCGGTAATGAATTGTCAAATGTTGACAATTCGAGGGTTAATGGACGATAATCGACGTTGATCGGTGAGGCATTTAATGAGATTCGCATATCCTCTCTGTGTTCCATTAATTACGACATCGACGAAGTATGGTCAGCTCACTTTGCTGACTATGAACATTGTCAGAAATGTCGGCATCGGAGAGAATATTCGAACCTGATTCCTCATTAACGGGAGAGTCTCTGATAGCTGATGTTACACGTTCGTAATTGCATCGTGGTACATGGAAAATGTGAATTTCGCGGTGAGGGAAGCTAGAAACATTGATGTAACACAGGAAAATAAAACGATTTTAAAAGTGCAAGGCGTGACAGTGTAAAATCGAAAGCATTTTATTTCCTGTTCCTCTGGCTAGAAAATCGTCACCAGAATGAAGTGAATCCAAGAAAATGTAAAATGGAGTTTTAGTAATTGACTGGCTGTTTGCAAACGACAGACGAGGTACAGCCCCACGATTAATAGCCGTCAAAAGCGTACGTCGTTTGCCGGTATTTCGCCTTTCAACTAGAATTTCTCCCCTGTGGTTGCCAGGATACCACCCTTAAACTCTTCTCCTTCGCTAGTCAACTAGATATCCGTTGTTCGTAATTAATTTGAATAAGACAAGTGGTTTTTTCCGATATACCGAATATAATCGTTTAAGAAGAATTTTTAAGGATACGATTAATCAATAAATTTCGATAAGATCAATCAGGTTGTCTTCGTTCAATATTTTAACTGTATAACAGTATCTGCTACTTCAACTTTTTGCTATATTTTTAGGATGTTTTTTTATTATTCTAATCAATTATAGACGTCGAATAGTGAGGCTGAAAACGCGAAAGTTATCTCTTCTCTTGAAGTAGCGCAGAAGCAGATTTTACATAAGCAGACAATTTTACATAACAACGACAGCGAATTTATGAGCGCCGTGAATTGCTTTATAAATTATTCATACGTAGCAACAGTATCTGAAAAAGATAAATATATCCGGTCGAATGTTTCTCTATTAAAATATAGTAGAATAAAGATAAGGGCGGAATTGAAATAGTATCTTTACGGGAACATTATACTATCTTGTATATATTATAACTAATGTATCTTGAAAAAGTAGATACAAAAAATATTTTATTTATGATTCTACATTACACTTCTTATATATATTTTTTTTCTATAAACTAGAAAATAATAACCTTACTAATTTAAATAATTATTCCCTTGATTGATTGATTGATTGATTGATTGATTGATCGATGGGCAGAACATTTGCATAAACCGAGAGAAAAACAATGAAAATTCCAATCGAGGTGAATTTCAAATTAGAAAATTATACAAATCAGGTATCATCATTATTCATCTTATTATTTATGGAAGATACATAATGTTTTTGTTCATTCTGAGATGAGTATCTTTGTTCAAGTTTTTCAATGTTCTCTGGACTGGGTTAACAAGCAGTTACAGAATGAGAGGAAAGTAATAAAACTTTGGAATTTTCATTTAATAATCCTCTCTGGTTTTGTTACGATCGTTGCAAAGACATCTAAAGAAAGATTGTGGAATGTGTATCGGAAAAAATCAATTACATATCAACTACTAATTCAATTATACCATTATAATAACTTGATAAAAGTTTGTTGAAGTCGAAGGTTCAGTTTCTATTTATTTCAACTTTTATAAGTAGTTCGATACAATACTTACATAAATTGAATGGAAATATATTTTAACGTGAGAAATTCTAAAAGGACAATATAGAAATATTATTACTACTATTGTTACTACGCGTTTCACTTGCAACTTTACACGAATTGCGATTTAAAAGGACCGCGAAGTCGGAAATAGCGATAGAGAAAGACTTATGCAACGGAAGTTGCCAATAAATTGTGATCGTGATCGTGATCGAGACACGGGCGGCAAACGATCAATCACCGGCGTCTGACCGAGAATTTTCTCGCTCTACACGAACAAACAAGAACGTAATCCTATTCGGATCGAACGATGAAAAAAAGCGTTGTTCGTCGAAATACGGAATTCCCTTGAAACCGATTTATCTGCGAGTGTGTCGAATGCATAGGAACGCGATTACTGAACAAACTGGCTATCCGGTGGCACGAAACTCATCGATGCAAGAAATCGTTTCACGGATGACGATCTAGGACAGATCGAATAGGATGCAGAACTAATTAGCAGAAGATATGAAATAATTGGATAGATGTAGTTTTTTTCTCATTAGCTTATATGAATAATCAAGGAGTTGATTAGAGTCTTCTTTATAACGAAATTGACGAGTCAATTAGCGTATCAATCACAGGTGATCGATATTGCAAATATAATTAAACCTTCGTGTAATTAATCGGATATACATCGAAGGTTTAATATAACGAACTTTTTACATAAATTTCTATTTTTAATAAGTACGTGCAGAGAATTTAAGAATTCAAAGAATAGCGCTCGTCACTTGTCGCAGTTGCACGAAAAGCAATATTTCTGCAACGATCGTAAAAAGGAACCTCCCTTGCTGAAAGGGAGTGTGAAAGTTGTACGTGTCTCCCTCATAAACCTTCCACTTTCCTCAAATCCTCTTCGTTTCCTAGTTCCTTTACGTTTCAGCGAGAAATCTGATGGCGGTAAATCCTTGAACTCTGCCCTAATAACTGATTCTTCTTTTACTTCTTGTAAGATATTGTTACTACGAGATACTTGGATGCGATTCAAGCTTACAACATTTTATCCATTTTCGATTCTACACCGAACGTATTTTAGTTTCCCTTATCGTCTCCTCGTTATCCGTTCGTTTTTCTTGTCGTCCATTCATATAGCTGCGAAGATGTTTCCTTTCCTTTCAATTACTTTTAAATTTCTTTCTTTATCTTCTACTTTCTACATTTTGTTTTCTCCGCATCGTTTGTTGTACAAAGAAAATACTAGCAATTATTTACCCGAAATTATTATCTTCCGCGTTTCCAATTTCGATCCCGTAAACACCACGTCCTTGTAAATTTTCCTGGATGTAAATTTTCCTCGGTGTAATTACCTATCGTCGAACTAATTTCCTTCCTTTGTACTCTGATGAAAAGGGGTTTGAAATAAGTGCGAAACAGGGAAGCGTCGTTTCGATGAATATTTTACCACGTTAATTCCTTTCGATTCTTTAAAAGCGAACGCATCGCGCCGCATCGAATTCGTGTTTATTCGAACGCAAAGGTAGCCCAGCATGTCTATTAATCATCGCCCGCTCGACGTGGCTTTGCTCGATTTCAAATTGCGTTTCTCGCAACGATTTCAAATCTCGTTAATGAACGTCACACTATCGATACGACCGCCCCTACGTGGCACACCGCGTTACAACAAGATTTATAAGCTGAGTCGACGAATTGTCGTCAGCTATTTGACATCGAAAAGGACTTTGATTTATCGACAGAAATAAATCGGTGATGTTTATGCGAATATGTTCTAGAAAGGTGTTGGAAAGTTTATTCCTGATGGATGCCGCTCGCGAAAGTACGATAGAAGAATTCCTCCTCTGATGGGAATAACTGTCCTTTACGTTTAATAGAGCTAAACTGTTCTCAGACGTAATAAATGGTCCTTGAAGATAGGCTGGGACGTTAACCGGCTCTCACAGTTTAAAACTTGCATGTAATCCTTCCTTTTCTTTTTTAGCAGCCTCATTTGATTCCGAGGAGGATCTCTTAATCTACTTGTGGTTAAATTAAATTAAAGCTAATCAAATAAGAATTATTCAAATATTTCTTCATTAATCTCGACGCATTCGTTACGGATATAAAAGTCTCACGCCACATCAACTTTATTAATGTTAACATAATTGAAGCAATCATTCGTATAACCAGTCTCCTGCGCATTCATTTGCACTAGGCATTTCAATAAATAGCTGATTCTATTCAACGATTTTTCACCTTTCGACGTAAACGTTCGTCTGAAAGAGCGATCGCGTCAATCTCGTTTCTGGAAGTCGCCGATGAATATGCATCAACATATTCAGACTTCTTCAGTGAATCGCATTCAATAAGTGTTCTATACGTAAATGGACAAAAGTATGGAAGCGACTAATTGAATGTTATATTTTACGTTACATCTGTAGTTTCAAAATGTTTCAGAGTTAAAATTCAATATAGGATTTCGTACAAATAGATGAAATAAAAGAGGTACTAGGAGTTTATTGATCATTTCAGTTCAGATTACATTGCAGGGTGAACAGGAAGTGGTATTGCGAAAATTAGGATACGAAGAATAGAGAAGGATATTAGAGTGGTTTTGCGGTAATAACGAGAGTTTCTACAAAGTATAAGTGTTCCTGAGGGATGAAAGTGTATTGAGAGAACGGATTTTAAACAGAAAAGCGAGTAAAACCGAAGCTTTAGATTGTAAAGATGCTGTGTAAAGAGAGAAAGCAAATTAGTTTCAGTTTGTACGCGTTAAAAATAGAATCTTATATTTCTCGTATCTCTATTTAATATCATAAAATTGTTAGAGCATAAAAAATAGATGTTTCATTCTTTGAAAACGTTTGATAATCATTTTTTTTTCGTGGAAGATGATACGTTAGGTATAATTCGAGTAACATGCATAGTTTCTTTTTTTTTTAAAGATACGTGGAGTTAATTCACGACCTAGAACCAGGGCTTTGTAGTTTAAACATTGTACGAGACACCTCTTTTAATTAAAATGGAAAGTCAAGATTCCGTGAGGCGAGAAACACAGAGACGGAAAAATTCTGATGAAATACGAGTAACTGGAAAATGTAGCTTTATTTTTAATATTCATCCTGTTAACCTGGAGCATTAAATATATTATAATTACCAGGATGACTTTTGTGAGATTCACCTCTGCTATGAATTCAGTTTAGCCGCATAATTAATGAATGAGAAAATGTTAAAAATGTACCGTTTTAATTTTGTTTTAAAACGAAAATTTTTAAACCCTAAATAAAATAGGAATTTTGAACTTTAAAATAGAATAAAATAAAAACGAAGTATCGTATAGGAATTGCATCGAGCTTGTCGCATTCACTTACGAATCGAATCATTCATCTCTGTTTCTTCCTTGATTAGAACAATCGGGTGTGTAATTCTAGAGGAAAATGGAACGCGGTGCTGCAAACAATATTGTCTTGCATGCGTTATATTTCTCGTGTCGTTCCTGCAATTTATCTTTGGAGAAAGCAACACAGGTGAGACGAGTATGCAACGTTGTTTGAATAGCGTAGCTCACAGTTGCGACGAATCGATTTCGGTTGGGTCAAAGTGCATCCTCTTGAAATAAGCCGAAAAATTGCAACAGGTTACACGTGACATCTGTTGCTCTAACTTCTAATTATCATTGTTTCCGAAATATTTCAATTTCAGTGGAATAAACATTTCATAGTAATCAAATAAGCAGTTATAGCCAGAGAGAGAGAGTCGACTCTGTTTCTCTTAATTAAGGTTGGTGATAAAAAAAATAGAGAAACAAAAGTTTCACGCGAAGTTGAAGCTTGCAGTTATTCTTTTTCCACGAATTCATCAGCGGTTGTCAAGGGAAGCATTTGGAAGCGTGAAACAACCCTCGAGAGCCGTACTTCGTTATTATTTTTCCTCCAAATTGAATTTTTTTGCAAGCATGCTTGCTTCGTTTTGCCAACTCGTTTGTTCCGTAGTTACCTCTAGGAATATCGCGCTATCGAGCTTGCTTGAAAAAAAAAGAAATTCGACAAAGGAAATGAAAAAAATTTGTAATTTATTATCAACTATGTTGTTGGAGAATTTTCATTCTAAGCATGATCTTGCGTAGAAAATCTAGAACAATTGAAATATCGTGTTGTTAAAGGATTCAAAGACGATACAATCTATATCGAGGGAAACAGTAGTGTGTCTCGTTCATTTCTGCAGTTAGAAATCAGATCGAAACTGGTCTGCTGATAACGCCACGTCGAATTCGACGTTTACATACGAGACGCGTGTAAATGTCGTTCGCGTGACATGTAAAAGCTCGTATCGGTAACACGTTTCCCTTACAATCTATCACGTCAACCGCATGCAAAACCATGAACACAGTGTTCTGTGAACGGTAAAGAAACGTTGGAAGGTTTTCTAGAAAAATCGTACCAGTTAACAGGTAACTACTTTCCTCGAAGCTCGTTGAATCAATTTGACATTAATTAGAAAATTCACGAGTAATCATACGCTTCGCCTAATGTTAGTTCTATCGAACAGACTAATTTCAAAGTTTTCATCCACGCGGTGAATTTCCATCGCGAACGTAGAATTGTAGGAGTTAGAAATTTCATAGATTATATTCGTGACGGGAACGGCGATTCCACTTATCCGACGATTTGCCAGCATCTAATCGGTAGGGACAATTTGTAACGTGTCGGCGATTTCAATCTATCGAGCCTGTTGTATGCGTTTCTCTGTCTGTCGGCCAGCCAGAGGTAATATTCAACATCGGTTGACCTTCCTGTAAAACAGACACGGATGTTTCCTGTGTTTCGCAGCGCGACGGTCATCAACCTGTTAACAGGGTCATTTTTCAAAGAGAAATTACCCCTTTTTCCGCGTGTAATCAAGGATGTACAAAGAGGAGCTAACGAAATGTGCATATTGATATTAACACGTTTAATGTACGAGTGAAAATTGTTATTTTGTCAATTTTAATAAATGATTGCGTGGAACGCTAGGGTCGCGAATTTAGCTGTCGACCTAATAACCCAGTACCTTTGGTTCTGCGTTCGATTTCTAAATGTATCGACGGGAGGTAGCCGATATAATAGCATAATTGGAACGCATGTGGCGTACAAATGCGAAAATAAAACCGATAATGTGTTCAAGGTAAACCGACGAGTCTTTCAGTCTTTATGTAATTCGTGCATTTTTATTCTCCGCATCGAAATAATTTGTAATTTATATTAAATTAATTATCCTGTTACTGTTATATAATTATAATTTTCTAAAAAAACCTCGAACTTATATTTGCAATTAGCTCCAATAGATGTTGATTAATCGATTGATCACCGTTCGATTCCTTCGCCGGCAAATATTCAGCAATCACTGTCGACACGGTACCAGCTCTAATTACAGCTAATTTTAGTTAAACGCTTTAATTACTTAATACATCAGCCAGGTTAATTTACTCCCCTTTCAGATTCGACACTGAAATTGTATCTCGAGTTTTCATTAGGAATTTTAATGACTTTATTCGATGCTTCTCCACATTTCGTATCTCGTCAATCAATTAAATGAAACTTTGAATAAACTATCAGATTTTATATTTTTATCGAGAGATGCTCTCATGTTTTTTCGTTTGTAGCCAATAACCGAAACGTTGGAAACAATTTTATTGGGACGAAAGATGGCCGGCTAGTTCTCAGGTTTCTTTCGCAAACTTCCTTTGGAAAATAAATCTGGTGGGATCGATCGTTTGTATACACCGATGCGGCGAGGGTACGCCAAAACTTGCCACTCAATTTTCGTCTAGGAACGGAAGTTCCACATCGCTGTGTAACATATCGTAACCGGTCTCCATTTCCCTAGGTAAATGAGACGCAAAAGGGAACTTTGAAGTTCCGTAACTGCTTTAGCCAGGTCACAACTGTGATGTCTTAATTGCAAACGTGTTGTTGTTACCGATCAAATAATCATTACAATTTTTAGGGGATGAAAACTTCTATTTCCCTTACTGATTCGTCCTTAAAATATTTTGGTATGCAAAGTTTAACTGTCATTATTAAAATGGGTAGACCAGAAATTGTCCACATCTCAATTAATAATCAAATAGGAATATTAATTATTTTTTGATCAGATTCCTTCGTATTAGAGATCATTCTAATGAATCAATTAAATGTCTATTATTATTTTATAATATGGTATTATTGAACGAAATTAATACATTTGATTGAGTAGTTAATAGACCAATGGTCCATTAAAGGGTTCTCGATCAATAAGTGACATTAGTCTATTAATAGACTTCCAGTTGGTAGACTGTACGTTGAGGTCAAAGTTTATTGGTTTTCTATCACTCATGTTGATAAAGGAACGTTATATAAATATAAATCTGGTCTTGAAATTGAGTTAGTAAAATGATCTAAAACAAATACATTTTCATTTGTTCCAAGAGAACATCGAAACTTTAGTTCATTCGTTAAATCCTGTTTGAAACTGGAATACTGGATTAGAAATTTTGTTGTGGTTTCGAAAGGGGATCAGAAACTCGTTAGAAATTCCAAAGTTTCTCTGAGATGGTGAGGAAAAAAGAAGCGACGATGAATATCGATTTTCAATTAGAACGAACCATTCAATTAACGAATTGCTAATTTCTTTCGTTTTCTTTCTTTTTTAGTTTCAAATGTTTTCGTGTCTTTCACGGCCTATTTAGACCACTCGTTCATCTGGACCAAACGGTAATTTATTTATGTTTATACAATCTTCTTCTTATTAACAGATTTTCTTAAAATGATTTTCTTCTAACAGATCTAACAGATCAATTGTCGTTAAAACTCCAATTAATCTTCTATAAAAAAAAATGAACTAATAATCCTCAACGCTCTAACACATTTGTAATTATGAGAAATGTTTGCATTTCTGCAAAGAAACTCGTTGAGTGACGAACAGGTGAATCAACATTGAAAGTATAGCACTTGGACAGAAGTTACGTGTTATGTTCAATCGTGTTAAATATGAACAGTATTCTTGATTTTCCACCATTCAATATATATCAAATTTAATTTTTGTCTTATCTAAGTGAAAGAATTGTCATTCTTCAAAGAATAAAAGAGACTTGATTTTTGTACCTGACAAAGGTATTCCTGAAATGGTGTTGAAATAACTAGGTCAGCGAAACACCTGTTGTTCCTCGAATTTCCTACCATCTTGTTCACCCTGACCTCTGGGTGCTGGCTGACGAGGTCAGCACCCAGGGGTTGTGAACTCGTTCCGTTCTGCTTATGAATGAGTTAGATTAGGAAGAGAGAAAACAATAGGAAACGAAAGGAAAGGAAAAAAGGTTCCGTTTTTGAAAGATACTTGTATTAATTAAAGAATAGAAATTTGAAATGTAAATGATCCGTAGAGACACAAGCGAGAATTACCACTGAATAGATCACGCATAATTCATTTACGTCTCGGTTTTATGAAAGGTTGAAGAGCACACGGAAGACAAAGTGCAAGGTTTCGAATGAGCGAATGCTATTAATCAACTAGGTACGACACTTTAAACTAATAGCATGGAAGATCATTTCCTCTTCTTTTTGCAGTAATTTTCTTCATTTTTTATCAGGAATATTGATCGAGAAACTTGAACAACACCTGATGTTAATTTCGATCAAGAAGCGCGGATATCTTTTTTGCTTCAGCTTCACTATTAAAATTATTTCTTTTATTTATAATTGTGTGTTGAAATTATAATAGAGTTAGGATAAAGAATTTGATGGTTTCATAAGACAAAGGAACGATTTATTGATGTATTCCATCTCATTAATAAACAGAAATTGCGTTCAGCTGAATTTAACTTCATAACTTTAAAGTTATATGAAATAGCAGGGTGTATTTTGTGAGGCGACCAGTAATAACTGTTCAAGTTTTCATTGTTGCAGATGCCTGGAAATACGACAGCCGGTAGCACCCTATTGGACGACGAACTTCGTCGCATTTTACTGGAAAGGGAGCAGGATTGCTTGCAGTTACAGGCTACCAATTCGACCCCGCTACCGGGTAAGTTTTTAACATTTTTAATCCATACAAATCTAACGAAAAGTTTACTAACATTAATTCTTTTTTTCTTCATTTTTCTATCATTTTTTTTATATTCGTTTCTCAACATTTGCATTAGATTTTGCTTAGTCTCTGTTCTTAATCAGTAATTAATCTCTAAATAATCTAAGAAATTCTTAAATATATTCTTTTCCGAAAATTCTTATTACGTGACGGCAAAACATTACGACTTCATAAAGTAAAACGTGCGGGAAGGAAAATGTAAAAGTTGAAAAAATAAAAGAGTGTAAAAACAATGGAAGTTCTCTTTTATTAAGAAAGTTTATTGAACAAAGTTGTCTTCGTACAAAAGTGTAACAACGATGAAGAATGTTTCGCTAAATTCAAGACGCAGAATGCACTTGCAACCCATTCTGCACTTTCCCTTATTTTAATTTTGATCGTTTCAAATAATAAAAGTCTATAGTAAAAACCCCATCAATTAGGGTTTATTTATTTTTCTTCGAGTTCGAGGATTTTCCACCTTTCTCGTGGCAATACGTATGTCCTAGTAGACAATTCTTCAATTTTCGTATCAAAACGAACGCCACGTAAAGTATTAATGCAACACAGGCAAGGATGAAACCATAAACGTCCAAAAGGTTTCGTTGCCACCAATTAAGATGAAACAGGGGTGATTGCAAAATGTTCCCGTGTCGTCCGACGTATTCGACCCAGAAAATCGCGGTGTCTACAGCGCTCATCGGTCTGTCTTTGAATAGTTGCGATAGTTTCTTCATGTTTGTTCTGAAAAAAAAAAGAAAAGAGTAAGATTTGCAACTGTAAGTAGAACGACGTTGACGAAACCAGGCTTGATGGTAGAACAATCACAGAAAGGAAACGAAACAATGAGAAAATATGAAATACAATTTATATAGGAGAATTGAAAATAGTTAAAATGTAGGGTTTGCTTTTCGTGAGTCTGGAATAATGTGATCGAAATAAGAAAATAGGAGCATAGTGTATGGAAAAGAAAGGGATGTGCACCAGAGCGGGAAAATGAAGTAGAAACAGATGGAGGGAATTTGGAAAACTGGAAGTTACGAGAAGTCGATTCCACTCGGAAGTTTGCAAATTTCGCAAGCTCCGCGTTCCACACCTTTTCAAGTTTTCGATTTCATGAACTCTACGAACTTTGATGGGACTTTGTGTCATGTAAAGTTTCATTTATGTCGTTTCAACTGTCTAGCAAAACTGTCTATAGAAATTCTAACGAATTAACGTGAAATTTTCGAGCATCATTCTCCTATCAGAAACGAATACTAATTTGGAAATCTTTAGTGTCCGCTTACCGATATGTATCGTTATACAAAATCGTGTTGATCGCATCGCTCAACGTTTCCTCGTTGACGTTCTCTATCGAATTAAGAGTGACGCCGATATGTTTCTTAGCTGCAATTTGTAAATTATTATATTGATCGCCGAAAAGTGGAATTCCGATCACGGGAACTCCAAAGTAGATGGCTTCTTGTGTTCCCAACAGACCGCCATGAGTGAGGAACGCTTTCGTGTTCTTGTGCTCTGAAAGGAAAAACAAGAGAATTTCATTTTTACAACCCTTTTACACCAAATGATTATTAAAAAACTTCTTTAATAACTCACTGAGAATGGGCACTTGAGGAAACCAAGACTTAATCATCACGTTCTTTGGTAGTCCCGGAAGTAGGTCCTCTTTTTTCGCAACCTTCATTAGCACACGAACTGGCGCAAGTTTTTCGAAAACTTTGTAGAATGTTCGCAGCAACGGGTCAGGGAATGTCTCGATCCTCACCATCGATCCGAATGTGAAAAATATGCATCCGTGGGTGCTTTCGTCCAACCATTTTTGTAGATCCTGTCGAATCATAAACAATTGTCTTTAGAAACGCAATTGTAATCGTTCGGAATACGACAGCTTGATTTTTCTAAATATTATCTTTCCAATATCGAGCGTTTTAAATTAATTACAAATTCCATTCAATAAATCAGTAACATCTTCAAGACTGCTCTTCACACTCGATGCACTTCGATGCATTTTTCTGATCATTTAATCGATATTTCAAGATTCAAATACTTTCGAATCCAAAGGGAATTCTCCCCTCGGATCAGAATTTCCCTCAAGGAGCAATTTATCTTGGAAGCCGTCAGAATTTCGAGAATAACCGACGGAATGCTTCTCAATTATCCAGGGATTTTCTGTTACTCGAGATTCTTCGCCGTTGAATAATATAACAACTTCCCTTTAAATTCCCTTATCGTTGGGTAATAAATGTTTTAACCTTTTCGATTCGATGGGCTATTCGAAATTTGTTATTTTACATTATCAAACGATTGTTGACTAAAATACTTACCGATGGTAAAGGTGTCGAGTCGTTTTTAACATGCACACCACCAATTTCGATGAGGGACGGAATCTTTGGGCTGATTCCGTTCAGACTGTGATGGGAATTTATCAACATAATAGCTATGTCACCGTACAGCTCCGAGATTGTGGCATTCAGGCCGAAATATTTCTTCAGATACACTTCCTGCTCGCTCAGGTAGTAGTTCAGTTGGAACGAGACCATGTTCGTTTGGAAGGTATTCATCAGCCTCTCCCAGAAGGTCATCCGTTGATCGTAGGATGAGAATAAGGACGGCATATAAGCGGGATTATGCGGAGTTCCTATGATGTCGCTGAACCACTCTTGGAAATTTGCAGTCATCATAGCGACCATGGGAACGTTTAGGTGACGACCAAATGCCAGGTAACACGGCATCATAAATACCTAAAAGGAACATTAAAAATTACTTCATTTCTACTTTATTTTAAATCTTCATTTAGATACAAATTTATAATAAAATTCGCAATGAAAATCGTACAGTATACATTTATGCAGATTTTCGATTGATTCAATTCCAGATATTCGTTCAAATTAAAATGAGTTGCATAAATCTTTTGTTGATGTTCTTAATCTTAAATGACTGGTTGTCAGTTTCATTGAATGATGAATGGGTATGAATAAGAAATATTTGGAACAGAGGGAAGAATTGAGGGAAAAGATGAAAGGATGAAAAATATTTTTTCGAATAGGGAGAAAATTATTCAGTCCTGAGATTCGAAATCGGATCTTTCGTTTGCTGAATGACTGCCTAAACCATTAAGCCATTCAGAATGTCGGCAAATATTCTTTCCCTAAATTTTTCGAGATATAAATAGTCGTCCTTTACAAACCCGACCCTTTTACCAAAAAGAAGAAAATGGAATGCATTTTTACTGTTTACGTTAGTCTTCTGTTAATTTTTCCATTTACACCGTAGAGTACAATTCGTGCCAAGGTTTTATTTATTAATGGACGGTCTAGTTGAATTATTACGATTAAGCTTCGTTTCACCTATAGAAGCTGTTTCATGGAATTCTTCAATAAATTGAAGAGCAATGAAAGGAAATACTGAAGATTCTTCTCACGAATAAAATCGGATTTTTTCGTTAAAAAAAGAAAAGAAAAAAAGATAGAAGCTATTTAAAATTCTTTAAAAACAGGTTTACCAGATATTATCTAAAAATAAATATCGAAAATAAATTCACATTCATATAAAATTTTGCGGTGTCATTACGAGAAGGTTGAATAACAGAGATATTCCTAATTAATACGTCACAACTGATCATTATCGATAAAATAAGTATATAGCGTCTATCATTCTTTAAAGTGTGAAGATTACAATTTTGCTTACTAATCCTCATTCATTATATATGTCATCTCATTAAAGATTAATAATAGATCATTTTGTTGTTTGTCTTTTTAAATACTTTCAATTTGAACGTTTCATTCGGTACTTTACAAAATTATTATAATATCGATACTAAGAACTTTTGTTCATTTCATTCGGTTATTACATTATAATAAATTTGATATACCGGTCACGGGTGACCCTCGCGGTATTCAACGCGTTAAAAATATTAATTATCGGTAAGATAGCAAGTAACGCAGAAGAGTAACAAAACTGGAGAATAAATATGTAATTATAGAATGCCATAGTAGATATATCAATTTTCATTGCGTCATATAACGTACTAACCATAAGTAGAAACGAAGTATCTCAATTACATGACTCAAGTAATTACACAGCTGTGCGTATATGCAAAACTCACCTCAACAATAACAAGATCATACGGTGGATCTTTAGGAGGATTATCGATCAGTTCCTTTAACGTTGGAAACTCCATCAATTGACAAATCTTATGACCAGCTATATCAGTGAGAAATTTGAAGTCCTGTATGTTTATCTGCGAAATGTTGCTTGGTTTCATATAGTTAACCATTGTTTGTATGCTTCCTTCCAAAGATATATCTCTGTAATTTGGTGGTGGATCCTTTATGGGGAAGTGGGTGACGGCATCTACCTTGTGACCTCGTTTAGCCAAACTGGTTAGCACTGACTCGGCCATAATCCAATGGCTTCTTCCATTCAGCGGAAATACGGCGAGAATTCTCAGCGAGTTTGTAAACTGACTGCATATCAGTATCGTTGATAGAATCGTTAGAAGTAGCTTCATTGCGACGATGAAAATTTAATGTTGTTTACACGTGTAATTCGATCGACACTCAGGTTATCAATTTAGCTGCTCGAGACCTGTTGGTTTGTCAGTAATATGTTCACTGTAATTCACTCTGACAATGACATTGATCATTACTCTCGTTGGACAAGAACTGATTGCGAGTCCGTGACTGATTCTGAGCCGATCTCTCTGCTGCCGTTCAATATTTATCACGTGCGTGCCTGTACACGATTAGATAACCAAGTGTTAATGATGAAATAGTTGAATTTGAATTTGATTTTAATTATCTTGAAATTTTGTCGAATTTTGAGCCACCGAATTTTTCCAATCCTTGGGTCTTAGAAGTATTCTCAAATTGTCATAGTTTTGGTACATTTTATTATAAAAATTTTGATTCTTGGGATTTTTAAAAGTTTTTGCTGTTGAAATTTCTGAAGTTTTGGAATTCTTAAAAATTTTGAAATCCTGGAATTTCGTAGTCTTAAAAGTTTTGAAACTTCTTTCGATTTTCGAATTCTTAGGAAGATTATTTATCTTTATCTCCGGAATGATGATGGATAGAAAACACTTTAGTATTTTATGATGCAGCACTTTTTCAAGTGTTTTTCATCTTTATCGTAGTCGAAGAAGATAATAGCAATCGCGCGTGCGTAAGAATTATTTTTAAACGTAATGGAGCTCTTTCCACTAAATTTACTAATTATTACGTGTACGGAGAATTTGAATAGTGATTGTGAGAAGACAATTTAAATATTTACCATGGGTAATATTTACTTGTCCTCGAACAGACCCCACATCACTAACAGAACACTCTCAATGTTACGCCGATGAAAGACAACTGGGAACTAGTTGGTGAACCTGCTCGGCAGGCTATTCGAGCTGGTTAGATTTATTTGTGCCGTAGTGGAAATGTTCAAATTAGCCTCTGATGCAATAGTTTTTTTGTAACGGGCATTCCAGGGACAATTTCGCGCACAAATCAGTAATTAGCAAAATATTTAATGTGAAAAAATTAAATAAGAAAAATTGAGTTCAAAATAAATGAACTAAGAAAGATGAGATAATTAGTATCTATAAATGATAAAATAAGCCGATGAAATATTTATTATCAATAATGTCAGTGATGATAAATAAAAATCAAATTCGTATTTTATCCAAAAGTGAGAATGCAAATCGTTGTCCCATTTCGATCGATATCGAAACCTTATAAATTCTCTTTTTTGTTTCCCACCTGGGCATTGATGATCTCGTAAGATGGAGAGAGATTTTCGTTCAGACCTATTCGTTCCGATTTCATCCTGTTGAGAAGTCTTTTTCTCCGGTTTCTAGCTACGTTTTCCTGTCCTAGATTTTACCCGACAGCTCGAAATGCTGATTGATGGATCGACACGAACACGATCGCGATCGCAACGAACGATTTCCACTGGAAATCTGAGATTTCATCGTACGAGAGCATCAATTTAAAACGAGATCCGCGCTTTTGCACGGTGAAACATGTTGCGATAATTCAACCTCGCGGATGTCCTTTCAGTGGTTTCCGTATTGTTCCATTGATATGATTTTCCTTCCTCCATTATCGTTCGTAACTGTCTCACGTTATGCGGATAACAAATTATTTTTAACCGAGTATTTCGGTCGATTTCAATTTCCTATCCGCTCTTCAACAATAAAAGGAGGAAAATAAAAATAGACGAACTTTGGTATCTGACTGGAACAAACGATTCTTTTACGTGTCTATCTTAAATATAAACTGTCATAAATATAATTAAATAGTCCTACTTGTTTATTCGAATGACGGAAATGTATGTGAGTTTCCAACAGAAAACTTTGATATCTATTGTCATTAATTTTAAATGTTCTTTCACGATAATATATATAACACATATTTGCATGTGTTAAAAAAAAAAGAAAAAGAGTATGTACAATACTTTTTAATAATTTCATTTATTTGCAGATTCTAAACTTGACATGTTTTATTCGTATTAATAAAAATATTCCTTACGTGCTTTGTGTAATAACAATTTGTTCAATACAAAAGTCTGTTATTTAATAATACACCGTTATACGTACGTCTCGCAGGTCTGGGTCACTATTAACCCATCCACAGCTGTTGGAAGGTTAACGTGACCTCATAAATAAAAATTGAGTGGTGATAAATCTAGTGCGCAAAGTGGTCAAAGTGTTTGCCATTTTAAAAGATTCTTTCACTATACTAAAGTGCAGTGATGTTCTCTATACATTTATAATTTCTAGAGAATACTCTTATCTTGATTTTTGTTTTCATACAAAATCTGAATTTTTACACGATATCCTGTATAATTATATACTGTTCGCACCGATACAAGAAATCTCGTGAAAATCATCAGAAGTCAATTGAAATCAATTAACAAAATTAGTTTAAGAAACTTTCTTCTTGTGTGACACGCTGTCATTCGAATTTACAAGGTGAAATATGAATCTTAATACGACTATCGATATATACAATGAGATTAACGCTGTAATTAGCAGGAAAGCGTAAATGTCTAATAATTCCACTTGCCACCATGTCAAATTCATCGCTGGTGATCTTAGCGCATCAGCACCGTGTTTTATGATGTATTCGACCCAATAAACCGCAGTCTCCGAGGCATTCATGGGCCTGTCTAGAAATTTGACTGACAGTTTCTTTACTGCTTCCCTGTAAAATGTTATTACATTTTTTATCAGAAGATAAATGATTATTCAGTCGAGTTGTTAAAGTGAAGATGTTCGAAACATGTGTCGAAGGATCGATTTAAAAGTAATCTAAAGTAGAGGGACAATTTACCGGTACTTGGGGTCGTTTAAAATTGCGTTCAAAGCTTCATCCATTTTCTCCTCGGTTAAAGTGTCCAGATTTAATCCTATCGTGATGTTCTTCTGGGCACCGACGTCGATGTTGATAAATTGATCGGCAAACAATGGTATACCAATCATGGGGACACCGTAGTGAATAGCCTCTTGAGTTCCCATCAAGCCACCGTGAGTGATGAATGCTCTTACATTAGGGTGTTCTAATAAAAACAGTCATTATGCAGCGAAATTAATATTTCAACTAATATTTTTCTCTCATCCTTTTCACAAAATAATTTGTCTAATTTTTACCAAAAAAGAAAAAACTTACTCAGAACTTTGACCTGTGGTATCCACGATAAAGTGTGAACGTTTCCCGGCAAACCAGGGGGAAGTTCATCCGATTTAGCTATTTTCATTAGAACTCGAACAGGTGCTATCTTTCCCAGAGAATTGTAGAATATTTGGAGGTACTTGGCTGGAAAGGATTCGATTTTCACCATCGAACCGAACGAAAAGTAGATAAATCCATTCTTGCTATCGTTCATCCATTTCTCCAAACTCTGAAAAACAAAATCGACGTTTTAACGATTGTTATCGAAGTCTTAATTAGATGAGAGATAAAATAATTACAGCTGGTAATTCCACTCCTTCCTCTTGGACGTGAAGTCCTCCAACTTCCACCAACGCGGGTGTCGTTGGTACGATCCCGTTCAAAGACATGTGAGAATTCACCAAAATCATCGAGATCTTCTTCTCAATTTCCCTAATGTCCGGCAGGTCTGGACTTATGTATTTCCTTATAATCTCCGTTTGTACGTTCGAAGCATATCGAAATATCCATTTGTTGTATGAAGTGTGTAAAACGTTGTACAATCTCTGCCAGAAATTCATGTTCTCCACGAAGGATAGTAAAATATTCGGTTGATATGCCAGATTCTCTGGATTCGCGATGTATTCGTTGGCCCATGGATAAAGTGCCGAAGAACTAGCTCCTATTACTGGTACATTTAAAACGTGACCCACAGCGGCAAAACAGTTCGCTCCGAAAATCTGAAAAAATTCAGGTGAAATTAAGGAGAGTTTAAGTCAACATTTCGCTGGTTTCGAATTGGTTTAAACATGGTGCTCCATCGTTAATAAATTGCTGAAACGTTTAATTTTTTTCGTGAAAAATCGAGGTGGTCTTCGCTTTTCATAAGGTTAATAATACTCGGTAATAAAGCTGAGTAATATTATTTAAGTAGTACCTCCAGCTACCTAGTAATGACACTTGGCTATTAAATAATGATATCGCGTAATAATACTTGACCGCTGTTTTCGTCATTTTCTATATATTAATTCGAGGATTATGCAACTGTTATTCAGGTTTAAAAGGAGCAGGAAGATTAAAGATCATAGTGGTATAATAGGAGGCAAAGTGCCATTTCACGCCGACGGAGTTTTAATCACGTTGCTCCCTCAGCAATTTCAACGAAAATTTCACCGATAAAGTTTTATCGGGCAATGACAAAGCACGAAGCATTATCGTTTCTTTCAAGTAGTCGCGTGCTGTATCTGAGCTCCAACTTAGAAATTATTTTCACAGATTAGTCACAATGACTGCGATTGTATGATGCCGATTCCTGGAAAAGAATTCAGGCTTATAAAATGGCAATTATTTAGCAACATCTTCTAAAAATATTCCGCGACTTGCTGGGATGGTGATCCGATGAAACAATGACAATAACCCTATGTTAAATAATTAAATAATTAATTAAGGGACGAGATTCTAGACAACGGAAGAATTCGGTATTTTCGCAATCTTTCAAATCTAAGATTCTATTATATAATACATTCCTAAAGCTAATTTGCTCGATTATCAAACTTTAATACTCATTTCGAGTGGCTATTATCGGAGCTTATCTATCGTACCTAGTATTAATCACTCTAAAAATAAGGATTTTTTAAATCACAGTTTTTTGATTTTTAGATTAAATATCAAAGAATAGATAAATATATTCTTGAACTGGAATATCAAACATAAGAGGTTGCTTTTAAACAAATGCTCTTCCACTCGATGCACTCGGAAAATATCTCATATCAACTTGTTTTCGATAACTACGACGTCGTTTGTTACAAAATATCGTAAACGGGTGGTGGAGGCTAATAAACTTGGAAACGAACGTCTCCAGCATATTGGCGAGTAATAAAATAGTCCAGAGGGGGTTGTGGACGAGTTATTGCTCATAGGACCAAATCGAACCGAGATGTGGCGTAATAGTTTGCGTAGGTCTTGATCTGTCCCCCCAACCAGAGAACATCATTGATTTTAAACAGTGATGTACAACAGAAATTTGTTAAACAACCCGAGCAATATTTCATTGCCAGATATGGAGGGAGATACTCATAAATTATGAAAAGAAAATAGATTTCTTCGTTTTAAATTGGAGCTTAGCCGAGGATATACCATAGAAATACTATCTCAATTTATTCTCGAGCCTTACGTTCTACGTAAATTGCATTGGTTCTTTCATTTTCCTGGATATTTTATCTTCAAACCCTCACCGTAAACAGGCTTCACACGAGCGATGCAAAGAGTTTTAGCAGTGTCCCTAGAGGACATCCATTAGAAACCTTTATTGCTACGTTTTACGAGTTCATCGTTTAACTGTTAACGCTATTAAACTCTTCGTTCGTCAATGAACTTTCTTAAACGTTCATTCCATTCAGATAGATTAACTTTCGTTGTCAAACTAGCGACGGTATTGAAATTCTACCAAAGAGACTCTCAGAAGAGATATTATAAAAAAGCAGCATACCTCTGTGAGAACCACGTCGTAAGGATGATCTTTGGGCAGATTCTTCAAAAACTTTTGTATATCTTCGTTACCTAAATATTCGCAGATCGTGTTGCCTAACATCGTGGCTATAGCATTTACAAGATCTGAATTTATCATGGTAGTCATTTCGGCGTAGGTCATATTATTCCTGAATGTTCTAGGCGCAGGTATAGTAACAATGTCTCTGTAGTTTGGATACGGTTTTTTCAAAGGAAACGGCCCGATCACGTCTACTTGGTGACCCTTTCTAGCCAACGCCTTCATCAGATGTTCGAACATAA